CCCCCCCCCCCCCCCCCAGCTTTTTAAGCTGTTGGCAGAACAAAAATTCATGCACACCAATGTTACAACAAAAGCTTTTATTTATTTCTCACAAGTTTGTTTGTTGATTTGAATGTGGGCAAATTTATATCTTTCAAAAATGACAAACCCGTTGTTTTAGAGAGCTCGTATTTCTCCTAAATGTTCCTAAAGTGATCGTTCAGATGGGCTTTGGTGGAAAGGTTATGAACGGTTAATATCTCACCTGTTGTAGATGACTCTTAATGACCTCAGTTCAAGAGTTCTGATCAACTGACAAGCAGGATACGAGCAGCCAAAATGAGCTTCCTTTGTAGGGTGGCCAGGCTCAGCTTCAGAGATTGGGTGAGGAGCTCCGTCACCCGGGGTGAGCTCTTAGTAAGGCTGCTGCTCCTCTGCATTGAAAAGAGTCAGTTGAGGTGGTTTGGACACTTTATTTGGAAGCCACCTGGGTTGTCTGGTAAGACATCTCAATCATGCTACTCTGAGTACTAAACTAAACTAGGTTACGCAAGTGACTTAAAGTTCTCATTCAGTGTATTCATTTTGATGTCTCACTCTGGGAAATGGAGACTCTCGTATTGCCAGACAGGTATTCCAGTGAGGATGCAGAGAACTTATAGAATCAAGGAAGAACAAGTGGTGAGGACGAACTCACTGCTGCACATACTGTACGTCCTGAATGGAGACCCCTAAAATAGGGTCCAGGACACATCCAGACCCAAAGTGGGCACATAAGCCCACAGTTACATGAAGGCCCTGGCTTGTATAGGACAATGCAATCGCCCCCAAAATCCAGTGGAAGGACCGCTGTTGCGTTGTGATGAGCTTGCCCCTATGAGGTTTTGCTCTGGGGAGGAGTTTCCGTTTTCCTGAGCAGGCAAAATTGGACTTCATCCTCTGTTTTCTTAGCCTCACACCGCTGCTGCATGGAGGCCAGAACAGAGCCAAAGATGCTCTCAGACACGATCATCGGGTCCAAATTGTCCTTTTTTTTCCTTGATCTGACAGGTTGGTCAGGTTGAGTCACCTTGCCCTTTTCTGTAACACTACCATCCTCACTGATTTTCCTGTGGCGTTGACCACACAATGCTGCATACGCAGTCAGTGAATGTGGTGCAGTGGTAGGACAGTTGTCTTGGGACCAGAAAGTCACAGGTTCAATCCCATGCCAAGCCCACATGTTGTGGGGTCTTTGAGCAAGACACTTAGTCCCTAAGCTCCTTGGGTGCCCGCTGCTTTACTTGGGTGTATCTCAGGTGTGATGGGTCAAATGCAGAGCACTAATGTCATCATTGTGTAGGAACATGCATTGATCACAATACATACAGTAACACATTGTTATTACTATCACAGTGATTTCATCTCACACTTTATGGTCTGGCTTGATTGCCATGACCTTGCACAGCTCAGTTTGGTGTGCTGAGAACATGGAGGACACATTAGCTGCGTTTCCATTGACCATGAAAATGCGCAAATTAGAATTTCGAAAATAAATCTCCTCAATGGAAACACGTCAATTTCGAAAAAATAAATATTTTTTCGACAAAATGTTTTTGCACTAGGATGAGGTGGTATTTCGGCCGTATCAAAATTGGTGTTTTTCGCGAAACTTCAATGGAAACACTTTTTTCGCATCACGGGAGTCACCTGATCAACAACCAGCTGTTTCTACTGGCGAAAAAGATGATAACGAAGAAGAAGATAACAGGAAGTAGAAGTAGTAGTAATATCACAGAAGTAGTAAAAGAAAGTTTTAAACTCACCGACTACATTTTTCCAAAAACGCAGCATACGTGGCCACTCCCAAGTATAAGGGGCTTATTGCTGGAAAGCCTCGATAAAAGAAGCCAACGTCTCCTCTGATGATGAGCGCTAGTGTCGTGGTAGCAATATGCTATGTGTTTACATCCATTGCCGCCATGTTTGTAATGACTTATTGCGAGAACAAACGTATTCACGCGTGACTTTAATAGCATTTCTTACTTAATGGAAACACCGCAGTTGCAAAACTGTGTTTTGTTGACATTAACAGAATATCGGAAAAAAAAATTTGCGCACACTTGCAATGGAAACGCAGCTACTGACTGTTTTAACAGCAACAGTTGCAGCTCTGTAGACCCTTTCAGTTAAGGCTGGCTGGAAGCAGTCCACCTTCGACGGCTGTGCAGGGGTTCTGGAAGTCGTCAGCAGCCATGGGCGCAGGTGGGGTGCCTCCATTGACTACATTGGGGGGCATGTGGTGCATGCCAAGCTTCTCCATGCTCTCAAAGTCCAGAGAGCCAGAGAGGAGGCTCCATGAATTTGAGTCTTCCCACTGAACAGGTGGTCCAACCTGCAGACTGCGTCCTCGTCCAGCAGCTCTGGGAAAACAGGGAGCTGTTTTGCCATCTTAGTGGCCTGTGACAGTGTCTTCCCTTCGTAATGGGATCTGGTGATTGCTGTTACTACTTCAGGACATGTGATGTTGAGTCTAGATGCAGCGCGTTTGCAGAGTCTGCATGTCCATACAGATAACAAGAAGCTCTCTCCTCCTCATCCTGGGGGACCTATGAAGTGCAAGGCTTTACAGCCCATGTGCTTATGATGAGGATTTCATCATCATAATTTTCGGACACGAGGAGATTACCTCGTCCTCTTTCTCATAGTCCAGCTCCAGAATGTCCTCAGCAGGTGGGAGCCTCAGTTGACTGTAGCAACTTGGTCCGGCATCCACATTTTATTCCCACTTGTCGTTGCCAGGCGGCAGCCTGCTCGTCAACGCAAATGGGTCCCTGCCAGAGAGGCTAGCTTGGTCTGCTAGCTGCTTTGGAGGCTCTTCGTGGTAAAATGGAACCGTTTGTAGACAAGCCCGGGACATCGATCATGAGGTGGGCATGTTCCAGCCCAAAGCATGTCAAGTACACAAAATTTTATTCCTTCAAAGGAAGACGCAGGCAGGCGAATCCCATAGTGAGACATCGAAATGAATGCTATGAGTGAGAGCTTCTAATTACTTTTAAAAAATGGTTTAATTAATTTTTCAATTAAGCACATTGTCAGGTATTGTAATATACAGTATATATTAGCTCGGTATATAATGCTATATTTAAAAGCTCTAGATCTAATGGGATATATAT